TGAAACTGTGAGTCAAAATAAACTTCTTTAAGTTGTGGATGACAGCCAGTGTGTTTCAGCGATAAGAAAGTGACTACACAGAAAATGGTAAGAAAAGTGAGAAGTGAGGTCACTGCTGTGACTACCTTACCATGTGGTTCAGAGGCATTTAAAACTGATTTGCAGGAAGAGACTGGAAAATTTTGGAAATTTTGGTTAGAGAATTCCTAAAGTGCTATAAATTGAGCTTGATTAAAAATGTTTGTCAAACTCAGAAGACCAGAATCCTAACAGAAATGCAGACAGGAAAGACCAGCTCATGAGATTTCAGTTGGGAACAAGAACTCCACTGGAAGTTGGACTAGAGACCATGTATGTTACACTCTCACAAGAAATTTACTTTGTTTTGTAAATGTCCTGAGATTTTTCAGGAGAATGAAATTAAAGGTGGTAGACTAATTAATCTGGCAGTAGAAATTTCAAAGCAGCCCAACGTTCAGGATGTAACATGAGTACTGCTGACTTCTTTCAGCCAGATATATAGTAAATCAGGAGCAAATAGCAAAGGTGAATAATTCAAAATTTTCAAGTTTTGCCAAAAAGGTAGTGCCTACAAAGTTGGGGCAAAAGAAAACATTATTACTAAAAAAATTAGTATTAAAGAAAAGCAAACCATTTTGGGTCAGGATAATAAAAAAAATGACTTGAGGGCATCTCAGGAGTCAACAAAACCCACCTTTCACTGGCTGGTGGGTCCACAACTATAAAGTACTCATTTAAAAAGAGACCTTCCCAGGAAATTGGTTTCCTGGGATTACTTTTACAGTACTCAACCACTGAGACACTCAGAGGCAGCCATGATACAAGGGGCCTTGCTACTCCTCAAGCTGGCAGCAGACTTTGGCATCATTCACAAGGTGCTGGTTTTATAGGTACACAAAATCCGAGCATTGTGATGTCAAGGAAAATTCTACTCAAATTTTTAAGGAAGACTTATGACGTCAGGTAGTGTGTCCCTGAGAAGCTAATACCAAAAACTGTAGCAGTAAATCCCAAAATGGAAAGGAAACTCCAGGAAGTTCAAGGTACCACGCACATTAAATGTCTGCTGAGGAAAGCCCAAGGCCTGTTCCCCTTAGCAGGTCTGCCTTCCCTTAATCACAGTAGCAATTCCACACTATTTTTTGGTCCTTGCTGTATACCCTGGGCTATACATCTAACATAGAGCAAGGCTGATCTCTGAAACAGATGTCATTAATTGCTGCCAACAGTCATGCCCATCCCCTGCTCCATACTAGCAGTACTGATTCTGTCTTGCTGTCAGTCTTCTAATGCGACTAGAAAAAGAGTTCTACTTGAAGTTAGTGATGTCCTACTCCCCCTGCACAGGAATGGCTTAGCCATGTTTACCTTGTGCAATTTAGGCCAACAGGATAGATGAGAAATTATGCTGGACGGTTCTGAGTAAGTTGTCCTTGCAGCTAGAAACACATAGACCAACACACTCTTGCTTATCATTCTGCAGAATGTTGTCCACCTGGCATGTAAGCATGCCATATTAGTGGCTATCATTTACCTTCAGGGAAGGATAACTTGAATAAGAACTACTACCCTGGGCATAGCAAAAGTAGGAAGAAGAAATGTTGGGCCCCATCCTTAGGGATGTGGGTCAACTGCTAAACTGGTCAACTCTGGAGCATGTTTGGAATGCTCATGTTAGAAAATAAATTCTGCATTTGTGCAGAAAGAATCCTAATACCCTCCAATAAAATACACATATTAATAATAGTATCGTTACACTTCCATAATTTTCCAGGCATGTGCTAAGCCTTGGATAGATATACCATATGATCCCCTGGGCAATCCTATGTGTGAACATCATGATCCTCAGTCAAGGCTTAGGAAATAATGCCCCAAAGCAGGAAATCAGGATTCACATCTGGGCTCAATGCCTCTTTAAAACTATGCTCTCCATGTTGTATATTACATGGCCTCGAGCTCCTAACTTTGTCTTTTTACATTCCACGGTACACATAGAAATGCTTCTTTTGTATCTGTTAAATTTGAGAGATGAATGAGACTGTCAATGATACAGTCCCTTACCATAGAGATCTGAGGCCCATAAGTGCTAAAGCAAATCACTGCCAGAGCCAGAGGTAGAATGCAAGTCACTGTCCCTAAAAAAGACACTATTTCTACAGAAGTAAAGGCAAGTACATCCAATGGGGCACTGTAATCCAGAAAGTGGCTGGTTACCTGGGGTTTGGGTAGGATGGTGAGTGATTGAAACCAGGCACAAGGCTTCTTTTTAAGCCTTGTAAATGTTCTAAATTAGGACTGAGGTGACAGGTGCCCAAGTGTGTACATTTACTAAAAAATACTGAAATGAGCAAATTTTATGACATATAAAATACATTTCAATATTGCTTTTAAGCGAAAAAAAGTAAAAATTGGCATTATCCAGTAAAATCTTTTAGAACTCCAATCTTGATTAAAAAACTACAATATGGCATCCAGGATAATGTATTCACAGGTCTGCCTAATTTCGAGGACCTAGAAGTCTGGTTTCATCACCTGGCCACCTTTCTCAAATACTATAATATCTTATAACTGCTAAATGCACAGGCTATAATCAGGGAGCCTAGGGTTCCAGGTCTTGTATTAGCTTGTTCTGGGACTCTGGGTTATTTCACGTCACTGATCTTGTCTCCTTCTGAAATGATACTCTCACCTCTAAAATGGGGATAACGATGTCTCTCAAGAAGAATGCTTTAAATAATGCATTTAATACTCCTGGCATAGTGTTTAGGAAGGAAATAGGCATACCCTTCACATGGCTGGCCCAGGTCATTACCATCAATGTCTCTTCCTTACAGAGGCATTATCTGACCACCTACCTCAAGTGGGTAAGGCCCATTACTCTTTGTACCCTTTTTATTTTCTTCTTAGCACTTGAAGAATTGGTTTCCCCTCCCTTCCTCCCTCCTTTCCTTTTGTCCATTCCTCCTCTTAGGCTGAGGTCTCCATGATGGCAGAGATCTTGGTTTTGTTCCATATTGTCTCTGCAAAGCCAGCCCCAGTGTTGATGAGTACCTTGTAGCTCAGATGCAGTGTTCTGGTATGTAGCTTCTATGGCACTAGCATATGTTAAGACTATCTCTTGTATCTGGCTACATTCTTCTTGGGCTTTCTTTCCTCAGTGGTTCAGAGTCAGCCTCACAGGAGCAATGAACAAAGGTAAAATTGATGTAACCCAGAGGGGTAAGGAGCTTGAAATGGAGCTAAGGATACAGGTTCCTGAACTGAGTCGAGCAGAGGGCAGGCAAATGATTGTAAAGGAGAAGACGCTGAACTGTGAGGAGTATGGATGTCAACAAACAACCAACTTCAGTTAAATGACCAAGATGGATCTTCCATGGGGTGGAGAAGCAGCAAAGTGTATACAGAACATTGCCTATGAGCTGTATGGAAGGTGAGGTTAAATACACTGGTTGATGTACAATCTTTGTGCACATGCTTGCTTTGAAGACTGAAGTTGAATATATATATAACTGCAGTATTTTGCACTAATTTTTTTTTTGCAAGGCAGGTGCTTATGAGCTAAATCCCCAGCCCCAACTAAATTTTATTATATCTATAAAATTAGGGACTTAACTGTGTAAACTCAGGTAAGTATGCAAATGTAAACGATTCTAGTACTGATTTTTTTTTTTTTAAGAGTAGGAAAATTTATTGGGGAAAAAGAAAGAGGGATAGGAATAGCTACTGAGGGGCAGGAGGGGTCCTGAATAGGTTGCCCTCTAGCACTGAATTTTAGGAAGACTAGAGCCCTTTTGAGATCCAGACATTAGGGATTAAATACAAATATCTCCACAAATACTTAATTTTCTCTGAGGGAAGTGAAGCAGGTATTTTTCTTTGGAATTTATTGCTTATTCAATTAACTTCTCACTTGTTTAGGTTTGTAAGTGTTGGGTTGATCTGATTTTTTTTTTCCCTGCCTAAAGACGAGTTCCTCAACTCTCAAGTAACTTTAGTAACAAGAAAAGGCCATGCGTCAAAATACTTCATTGTCATTATGTCCCTTCTTTCCCTTTCCTCCTTCAAACTAGGCACACAAATGGAAGACCATTGCTTTCATAACTTGCAGCTGTGTGCCTCTGGACAAGCCACTTATTCTGATTAGTTTCCTAAGAAAAGGAAGCAATCAAACAATCAGCAAGGTTCTTTCTGGTTGTAATCTGATAAAAGTGCAGCAGGAGCAAGTCTGTGGATTTCATTTTAATTTAGTATGCTTCACTTAGTTCATCTACTCACTCAATAATTATTGACAAAGCACCCACTTATACACCACAGATGTGGGAGGAAGTGTTGCACAGCAGTTCAACAGCCTTGGACTTGATCTACTTGAATCCACTACTCCCACTTGTTACCTGTGTCACAGGGGTTACAAATCAGCACCTGTTGTTAATCTATAAAATGGGCTAACAACTGTACATCTCATAGATCTGTTGAAAAATTTTAAGTATCTATAACAAACTTAGCAAAATGCATGGCTGCTTCTACTACTGAAATACGAGCTGCTTTTGTTATTCTTCTAAATTTTAAGGACAGTGTTCTGAATCACACAAAAACCTCAGCCTTGGGAAGCTTACACTTTTAAGAGGAAACACAAGTAAACACAATTATCAGTACAAGTTTCAACTGTGTCAAATGCCACGAAAATCAGAAATATGTGACAGTGGGGTGAGAAGCTACTTTCAGTGTTCAAGGAAGGATTCCTGGATGACATCTGAGCTACCACATGCATAGGGACAAAAGCCAGGTACTGCATAAAGCTGGAGGTGGGGACAGGGAAGGGGTAGTGGGCACAAACTACATAGTTCTGTGTCTGGAGTAGGCTGGTATTTTCCAGAAAAAACAAAGAAGACTTGAGGCTAATGAGTAGCGTGAGACGTGGTGCAAACACTAACACAGCTTTGCAAAAGCAGTTAAGCATATCCTCACTTCAAATTTGCAAGGAATCCACTACAGAGTTTTAAGCAAGAAGAGTATAATCAGATCAACAGTTCTTAATAGCACCCCCTTTGGCTACACTGTGAAGAACAGACTGTCAGGCAAAGGAGGAGTGGAGGAGTTCTCATCAAGAGGCTGTAGCAGTCATCCGGGGTGGAAACACCTCAGCTACATAGAACGAGCACGCGCACCCTTGGGTGGAGGAGGGCACGAGGGACACACTCAGGAGACGCAGAAATTAAGCGGACAGATGTGGCTTGTGGGCGCAGGCTTCCGTCCCACTTGTCTTAGTGCCCGTCCCACGGGCCCTGTCTCCCACTCCTTTCCTGAAACCAGAGTAGTGAAGCATCTAGCCAGGCGCCCTGATTCAGGTTCCCAAGTGGCCTCTTCCTGGACATAAGATCCGAGGACCTTCAGAGCCGCAGGACACTCTACACAGTGAGCGGACTCCGCGCTCCCCGGCCCGCAGCTCCCGCAGGACGCGGCCTCTGTGGCTTCTGCGGCCTCCTCGCCCACCCTGGCCGGGGCTGCGCGGTTCACCTGAATACCCTGCAGCACCCGCACCACTCGTCCATTTCGAAAGACACATTGTGGTCCTCGCTCTTCTCGACGGACCCCAGAAAAAGAAGAGAACAGACCCGTTAGTGAGTGGCCAAAGGAGCCGGGTCTGGAGCAGCCAGAAAGTACCAGGGCGGCTTCTGCTGCTCCAGGCACCTCCCAGTTCTGGGCCCGGTGAGGCGCGAGCCAACAAAACCACGTTCTATTGGCCTCCAGAGGATCGGCCAATCACAAATGTCGCTAGCCCGCCATTCCTTGTGGGAATTGTAGTCCATGGTCTGGGGCCACGGTAAGTGGGCTAGGAAGGTGGTGGCCAGGGTGGTAGGGGTCAGAGTGCTGGGGATCGGGGTGTGGGTGGGGATAGGGTGGTGGGGGAGTGCTAATCTGATCTGTGGAAAGCATTTTTGACTGAGACAAAAGGCAGGTACCTGCAGGAAATCTTAGAATGGCAAGCTAAGGAGCCCCAGACATGGTCTAGTACTCCCGTGGAAAAGTCACCGATGACTGAGACAAGGGTGATACTCTGAGACGAGTGGGCCAGCGGGAAACGGGAAGCTGAAGTGATTATCCAGAGGCAAACTTCTTATGGTTCATGCCTTCCTTCAGCAAACAGACTTTTTTCAGGCTAAAATCACTGTGTTTCAGGCTTGCTGAACTCATGGACTCACTGTGTACCCAGCCTGGCTCAGAACTCCCTGCTATCCTCCTGCCTCAATCTCCTGAGTGTTAGGATTATAAGCACACACCACTGCATGGGCCCCACAAACACAGACTGAGTAGCACTCATTAAGCACCAGACAAACACTGGCTTCTCAGTGGTGAACAAGAAACTGTTGTGCTTTCCTGAGGTTTGTTACATAATGGAGGAATCAAGTCAAAGCAGGGGTGACTGAGGAAACGTAGCATGATAACCCTAAAACTGCCTCACACTTCAACTGAAGAAAAAAGGAAGAGGCCTACTTTAATTTGAAAGACCAGATCAGCCTCTCTGAGAAAGATGCATTTGAATGGAGCCCTGAGAATGAGCAGGCATAGGCCAGGAGAAAGCAGGAAAGAACTTTCCTGGGAGCTAGCCAATGCAAAGGCCCTGGGACAGGAAAGTAAAGACTTCCCATGGCTGGAAAATAAAAGGAACAGGGTCGGGAAGAGCCAGAGGCAGTGGGGTCAGAAGAGCAGGAAGGCCCAGAATCTTTTAAGACAGGCACAGAGTTTAGGTTTTATTCGAAATGCCTTTGGAGGCCAGGAATGGTCCTAAGTATTTGGAAACACTGTCCAAGGGGCGCACAGCCATGCCTGGAGAGCAGGGTGTCTCCAGCACTGTGTTTATGTTTCTAGCAGAGCACCACAGTACAATGAAGAAATCCGTGTTACTGTTATTCATAACCTCAGGCACCTTGAATTGAAGCCCCTTGTTGTCCTCCAACTGACTGAATAGCCTTAATTTGTCAAATTTGCCCTCAGCAGAATTTAGAATCTGTTGCTCTGTGAAACAGCAAGAAATGTTTGGGTCTCTATGTTCAACAACATGTGACTTGATTTCTCTTTCTGCCTGCTAACACGCTAATACTAGGAATTGAAACAAGGGTCTTTGCACTAAGTTGCATCCCCAGCTCTTTAATAACAAAAAAAAAAAAAAAAAAAAAAAGATTTTTTAAAAAATTTGAGACAGACTCTCCCTATGTCTTAAGTTGCCCAGGCCGGGCTTGAATTTGTCTCTTTCTGCCTCAGCCTCCCAGAGTGCTGGGATTACACGCCTGTGCCATTATGCCCAGGTGAGCTGTCCCTTTTTCAAAGGTTCCTGATTAGACTTTCAGACTGGATTCAAAGTCCTGAGATGTGGCTATCTCTATTTCTTGGGCAGCTTTTTATGTGAAGGGAGGTGGAGATGCTAGAATCATTCCTTGCTTTCCCCAGGATAAATCCTGCTACCACGCAGAATCCTGAGTCATAACTAAAATGTCAGGAAGAAGAATACCAAGTTAAAAACTTTGAACAGGTCAAAGGAGGTTTTGTGTTGCTTATTTTATGAAGGATATCATTTACCCTGGCATTGCCTCCGACTGGGAAGAGAAGCTCCGGAGCATCTGAGCGGTTTCATCACTGCAGCCCATAACATTCCTTACGAGAGAGCACAGGCTTTCTGGGCTTCCACTCCACCTGATGTTCAAATTCTGAGGCTACAAAACCCCCAAAGTGAGCTCAGCAATTCTTCCCGAGGAGATAGTACAGCGGAGCCCACTCCCGCTGCTGCTCCCTCTTTCTACCACACGGTGGCGCCAGAGGACGCAGCATTCACTCTATAGGCCTGGCTAGGCAGGGCACCATTCTGTTTCAGTTCCCTGGGTTTCTAGCATTAGTAATGTGCTTTATTTACCTGCAGAACAGAGCTCCTAAACCCATATGGTTTCGCTGATTTTCTGTCCTGTAATCTGTTTAAAAGTCAGGCAACATTTCTTATTCTTGTATGTGCTCCTGCATACGCAGGTATGTGAAGTCTCCTTCCAAAGTGGACGGCTGATTCTCTTTCCCGTTGCCTTCATGAAGGTGGTCTGCAGGGTCAAAGTGAGTCCGTAAGTCTGAAAACCAGGGTCAGGTCCCGCCTTTGCCAAAAAGTAGGCAAGTTATGTAACCCCTCTCCAACCTCAGTCTCCTTACTTCGAAAGTGGGGGTAACAAAGGTTTCTACCTCAGGAGGCAAACACTGAAGAAAAACATTCTGTTGCCGGGCACATTTTCATGACCATCTTGTAGGTCCCTTTCCAAACCCTGCTAAATGTCACTCTTGGTTCGTGCAGACCTTGTCGGGTTCCCTGTGGAGTTCCACATGTTTTCAGCTCTTTCTTAGAGGTGCTGCCTAATTTCAGCCAAGAATCTCCATCTCTGAGAGAGAGACAGAGACAGAGAGGTTGCCAGAGACCACAGTTTTGTCCTCTGTATTTTAGGACTAAGCTTCTAAATGCTCACAATATGTAATAAAAGCCAGACTTGTGCTGAGACAGTCCTGACAAAATTAAATCAAGGATAATATATAAAATAGAACGCCAAGACTGTAACAAAAGACATTTTATATTAATGGTTTCATATGTAACATATTTCTGTTTAATTTTGAAGATATGTTTCTATGCATTAATATTATCATCTGGTATGCTATTTATTATAATGAAAGATGTTTATAATAGAGTCTACCAGTGTCTAATCCGTTCAGGAACTCTTCCTGCAGGAGACTGGCTGGACGTGGCACAGACATGTTCCAGGTGGGGGCGCTGTTTCGCTGCCTTCAGGACACCCTGAGACTTCTGGCCCGCTGGGAACATTTGCTGCTGGTAGTCTGTTCCTGACTCTGGTTGCAGACACCTGCCGACCAGCTGCTGTGCTTCTGTGCTAACCATCACCTAGGTGAGCTGCGCTGCCCTGAGAACGCCTAGGCTCTAGAATCAGGCAGAAGGAGGGCCGAGTCTCACTTTTCGGTCATTTCATGAGTGACCCCAGCTAATTCCAGGATATCCGAACGTGGGCACTGATGAACATGGATATTCGCACCTATGGCAGGCAGATTCTGGGTTCAGGACATAAGGACCACTGAGGGCTGGACCAGGCAGGGCAAAACTTTTACAACCTGAATCTTCAACCAGTATATCAAGGACTGCTGCTGACGGCTATTGGTGTGGTAAGAGAGGCTGGCTGGGGGCCGGATAGCTGGGAGCGGGGCACGGATAGGGAAGAGAACTGATGGAAGCGGTCTTCTCTCTGCACTGGGGTCCCCCGATGGCTGCACACTCACCCAGGCCGAGCACCCCCAGGCCAGATACTCCAAGGCTGCGATACCCAGCGTCCAGTTGCAGTTCTGCATCTAAGTTCCTTTTTCTTTATTTTATTTTGAAAAGCACTTTTCAGCTTTATGTTTTAAAACTTTCATGAATTTCCAATAGACTTTGTTATCTAGGATAATTTTAGATCTATAGGCAAATCACGAAGCTTCCCCAATTATTATCTTTTTACATGGTAATTAGGACATTTATGATCATTAAGGAACCAATAGTGATATATATGTTTCTGTTGACTAAAGTCCATGCTTGGTGTCTTTTTTCTCTCCGAAGATCTTATCCAGAGTCAGTACCGTGAGCATTATGTCTCTTAGGGCCACCTTAGCTGTGAGGCTCTCAGACTTTCCTCCTTTGTGATGAGATTGAATGCCTCTAGGCATTTGGAGTTTGTGTGATGTTTCTCTCACAGCTGAGCTGGGGTTGTAGGTCTGTGAAGACCGCAGGGGTTAAGCGCCACTCTTGTCTGTCACATAAAACTGTATAAGGTGCCATGGTCACTGTCATGGGGAGAAAAGAAGAGAACTGGGGGCGCCTTTGTATGTGTGTTGCAGTGAGCATGTGTTTGCATTTTTAATCATGTCTAGTCCATGACTTTTGTCATCAGGAATCATCAGCAGCATAATTTGTTTTCTTTGTGTTGTAAATATTTTGAGAATTAAACTACAACTGTTAAATTTTTTTCTTAGTAAGACTGTGTATTGAGTATTCCTACCAGATGTGTTTTATTTTATTTAATTTTCCCTCTCTCCTTGAGACAGAGTCTCTCGTTACCAGCACTGGTCTTGAACTCATAGACTCCAGGAATGTTCCGGCTCCAGCCTCTTGAGTAGCCAGGAAAATGTGGCATCCGCAGCTGGACTCCTGACAAACACAGGCACAGAAAATCTGGGTCACACACAGCAGAGAGGGTTCCAACCCCGGGCGGAGCGTTCCGGAGCTGAGAGCCCAGAGGAAAGCACGGCGCGCCCAGCAGCTGAGGGCGTCTCCGCGGCCACCCGAGAGGCAGGCGGGGGTTTTACAGCAGAGGAACCCAGCCCCGAGGGTGAAGAGCGGAGGGAGAAAGGCGGCGTGGGCAGCGGGCTTGCAGTTGACTCGGGCGGCCTTTCTCAGTCCCCAAAGCAGCCCACCCTGGAACTTCTGTCGCCCCGCGCGTCGGCACCTGAGTGCGCCGCCAGCCCGGACACCTGGGTCTCCTCCCCTCCACTGGGCGATCGCCTCCTGTCTCAGTCCCCCTGCTCTCTCTAAGAGGGTTTCGGGTCGGTGGTCTCCTACCTGGATCACGAACTCAGAGATGGGAAGGGGACCTGAGGAAGAGAGAAGGGGAAAGGGAAATCAAAACGATCCCCGTGGTTACCTAGAGAGAGACTCCGGACCCGCGCAGTGCCATCTGAGCCCTGCACAAGTCTCACTGGGAACCGCTGGCAGCTGTTTGCTTGGCCACGCTTGGACACTACGGACACTTGCTGACCAAAAACCAAACTGCGGCTCCTGACTTCACTGGACAAACAACCCGTGCCTACAGCAGCGCCTAGGGTCACAAAGACAGAAGCAAGATCTTTGTCTTTCAAGAACCCTGGGGCGCGTGGAAATAGAAGCAGAAATCCCTTTAGTGCAGGATGTGAATGTCAGGCTTCAGAGGCCCCTAGAAGCGTCTCCCTGGGCATCCAGTGTGGAAACAAAGCCGGAAGGCATCCTGGAGGACAGCAGGTGGCCTGCAGAGGCCAAATGCAGCCCTTCCACCTCCAGTAGGTCGAGGAAGCCACAGGATGCGAGTGATGAGTCTGGACTGGGAAACCAGTCCTAGGTCCCTCAAGGGGGCCAAGCAGAAGCAGCCTGGAGGAAGCTGACCCCGTGGAACTGGGAGGAGGGCTCCGGTGCCTGACTGTGAACATCCTCAGGGCTATGGGAGACTGTACAGGACATCGGCATTAAGGTTAAATAAGGGAGAGCCAGTATGACCCTGAGCTTTCTGCAGTGTCACAAGTGTTTCACTGGACTCCAGGGCCCAGCAGGGCCAGAGTCCCTGCGTAAGGAAACAAAGCTGGTGAAGGGGGATCCCTGTGAGTTCTGGGAGCAAATACAGGTTTTTGGGCATCTGAAAGCTTTAGGGATAGAGACTGAGATGAGTGTCGTCAGAGCCGGGCTTGCAAGATGCAGCCACAGCCTCAGATAAGCCCTGAATTCCTCCCCTTAGAGCAAAACACCAGACACTCTCAGTAGATTCCTGTCCTGAAAAGAATTCCATGTCCCAGTGTGCACCTCTGGGATGGAACTCTGCCTTCCCACAGCCCAGGTACCAAAGGATCCAAATTCTGCCTGGCCCGAACCATTCAGCAGAGGTTCCCCTCCTGAGTCCTGACCCAAGAGGGTGTCAGCACCTGCTCTTTCCCAGCACTCTGAGACTGAAAACTAAGGGCAGGCTGAGCACTGGGACAGGGACTCAGGCCATATGTCCTGGAACTTCTCTCAAACTTGAGCTCACGATTTTATTTAGAACTCAGTGAGTGTGCATAACCATTTCCCAGGCCTCCTTGGGGCCCAGGAGCAAAACTGACACAAGAGGCCCTGAAATTCAGTTTGGATCACACATACAGACACAAACACACCTTGTCCTCTCCTAGAGAGTCCACAACCGCATGCAACTTCCTATGAGATCATTCTCTAAGCCAAATAACTGACAAATACTCCATGGCCTCCTGCACTCAAGAGAAACTGCTGACACCCACTTGCACACTTGCACACTTGAGATCGTGATCTGCCTGTCCTCTCCCTGTGAGGCTTGTCACATGAGACAGGAGAGGGACATGGAAACAGGGTCCCTCCTCTGCACACGGTACCCTCACTATGTGTCCAGCAAATCCCCGGGCTGCCGGGGATTTGTGAGACAATGGCAGACCAGGGACACAATCCTCTGTTCCCAGTATCTCCCAGTGAAGTTCCCCGCTGAAGCCTGTTCCTAAACCCACAGCAATTTCTAGCAACTCTTGTGACCTGGGACACAGATCACTATAATCATTACAACCACACATGCCTTGCAAAATCATGCAAGGCACTGGAACTGAACACTTCTTAAAGAACAAAGCCTAATGCAAAGGGAAGTAAGGGGCCCAGGCTATTTCTGCAGGCCTTGCCCTGCCCATCTCTTTCCCTAGCCCAAGCCGGGCGGCTTCCTCCCAGGCCTGGGCATCTCACCTGGGCTCTACTTGCCACCCTATCCTCTTTCCCCAACCTCTTTGAAAATATACCAGAGAGTCCTGAGTGTTTATTTTCTTTCTAAATACCAACTAAATTCAGAATTAATATTTTGATATGGATTAAAAAGTCACCTAGTAAAAAGCAAAGGAGCCAGTGTTTTTCTATGAAGATTCACTGTGGAATGAGGGAGGGTTACACAGACGGCTCAGCCTGGGTCAGCATTTCCTTGTCCTGGAATGAAGTCTGTGAACCCCATCGGAGCAGGCCAAGCTGTGTGGACAGGAGGCTGACCCTGGGCTCTGTCCTCCGGTGCCCTGACCTGGGTATTTGGTGTGTGTGATGTCATTTAACCCTGTAAGGCAGGGGATATTACTATCACTGTTTCAGATGAAACTGAGGCTCGGGGTAGTTAAATGAATTGTCCAAGCTTGCCCAGCTAGTAAAGACTGGAGCCTGGATTTGAGGTGAGAGAGTGTTTCATTACCTGATGCTACTCAGGCACCTTTACCTGCAATGTGATTGTAATAACATCTAACATGTATTTTTAAAAGTAGTACTCTGTGTCCGGTTCTTCTTGTCTTTAAGTCTCAGAACAATCCCCTGGCTCCCATTTGTGAAGCAATTCTCTGGAGTGGGGAATGAGACCGTGGGCTAGGACCAAAATGTGGAAGCAATGACCACAGAGAGGAAGTCTCCAGGAAGGCGTTTGTAGCAATTAGAATCCTCCCGTAACGTTCAGGAAACTCCCAGAAGGTCTCTTATCTTCACTTTGTCTTGGTTTTGCTTCTCTGGTTGCCCTAACATTGCTTGACCTCAGGGCACAGGTAGTAAGCTCTCCTCCATCAGGAAGTGTTCAGACAGCAGCTGATGACCCGGGGGAATCTGGATGCTGTAGTCTCAAGCCTTTGGTGGGAGGACGAGTCATCGGCTCTCCAAGACCTACTGCAGTCCTGCAACGCTGTGAGCTTAGGATTCGGTAGGATCCCGGGCCTCCGTGTAGAAGAGGACACTGCCCTGCGGCTGATGGTCAGTCTCCTTACACTGGAGGGTGGCTCAAGCCCACTGTGCCCTGCTTCCTTCTGAAGAGTCTCCATCTTCACTGTCTCTGTGATGTGAACTCTTGTGAGGATCAGTTGAATGCAGCATCACCACTGGCCTTCTCCTGGAGTGTCCTCAAGGTTACATTCCCTGCCAGGGAACAGTTGCTTAGTCCCTGGGCTATCTTCTGCCCATGATGGAGGGCATCCCTCTGTCTCAGAGTCTTTTGCCAAATGAGTGAGGAGATAGCAGAATGCTTTATCGTGGGAGTGGGTTTTCCTGGTCCCTCCTGGCAGGGGTTCTACGGTCCTTGAGGCAGAATGGAAGGTGGGGAAGCCTTCCCCTGATCCTGTTTTGAGTAGTACAGGAGGGAAACGAGAAATAGCAGATAGCTGAAAGCTAAGAACCTTTTTTAAAGTAAAGAACCTTGATTCTGAGGTTACAGAGCTTCGGTGTGCTGTTGCTTTGGGTTTATTAGTGATGATCAAAGTATACATTATATTTTTAAATAGGAAAAATTTATGACAGTAAAATACACATTGCCATGAATCCCCTTCACTTTGAACACACCTACCCTGCTGTTCCTGCCCCTTTCTGAAGCATTTCTGGAAATCTTCTATCACGAATGTCTCAATGAGGTATAATTTTAAAATACTATACTGTTGACAAGTGTATCCCACACAAAGGAGAATGTACTCCAACTTCTGAACAGACTGGGGAGGGGTGGCTGCTGCAGAAGAATTAGAGGTGGCTGTGTGTTTAGTGTGTCACAATCCGTGCACACAGAGGTGCAGCAGCGTGAGCCCTGGATTTGTAGAGCAGGCTCACTCAGAACAGCAAGTGCAGCACCCACAAACCTGTCCCTGGGGGGCTGTGGAGTTTCGATACCTTAAGAAGAAAATCCACAGAGCCCTGGAAGAGTGGTGTACAGGAAGTTGTTTCAAACAAATGATAAAATTAGGCAGATCATAAGGGAAATGCAATGTAAAAGTGAAAAGATATTTATTCCTCTCTCTCTCTCTCTATATATATATATATATGTATATGTATGGACATATACATATATCTTCTGTGGGAACTATGTCAGTCTCTGTTTTGTTTTTAACCTTTCTGTTGAATTCTGTTGCATTCCTTCTTATCGCAGGATCACATGGAACTGACATAGTCCCCACAGTCCTTGGATACAGGAGCAGAACAAGAGAATCTCACTGAATGAAGATATTGGGGATGTGAGGGGCTCCAGGGACTCCAGAATTGGGAAGATGTCAGAGGAAAATGGTGTCTGGTAGCCCTTCTCAGCAATGCTTCGAGGCCTTTCCTCAGAATCAGGTTTCTGGCTGCACAGTCTGGGCTACAGGTGCTGGACTGTGCTGTGTGGGGAAGGGTCTTTCTCCCTGGATGCTGAGCTGGGTGACCCGGTGTCTGAGTTACTTTATGCTCTTTGTTGAGACAACATACCTGATGCCCAAGTTGGGAAAAGAAAGGTTTATTTCTTACAGTTTTTGGAGATTTCAGTCCACACTCAGTTGGCTCCCAGGCAGGCGGGCATGGCTGGGCCACCTTTCATGGTGGCTGCAAACGGCAAACAGGAACTCACAAAGAGCAAGACACACCTTCTTCCTGCCATTACATCACATCCTGGCTCCACCCCTATGTGGGTGGAGCACTGACACTATCAATCCAAGCACTAGACCATGAACCATCACAAATGCACAATGCAAGCTCATGAGGCCTGGGGACACAGGCATAAACCATGACACCCAGCTCCCCTCTCCACATTCTTGCCTAATACTCAGATACTGGCCTGCATGGGCTTAACAGGGGTTTCCCACAATCTGGTCACACTAGGACTTCCTTCCAGCTGCCTGCAGGATTCTTCAGATACTCTGATCTCTGGGCTGATTTGGGGGATACCTGGCAACATAGCAGGATTACTAAGTGCAATTCCAGGCCTTCCATTTGAGGGTGGGGTAGTCCCCATGGAGACTCTTGTCCTGCGAGGACTGGTGGGGTCCACGTGGCCATTGTTCCTCTGGGTAACCACCGCCTGGAGACACACTCTGAAAAGGCTCTGAGTGAGTTTGAACAAGTCACTGAACTTGTCTGAGCCTGCAATTTTCTCTTTATCGATACAGGGATATAAGTGTATTCATTGTGCCCACCCCACAGGGTTGAAAGGGATAATGCTATGAGGTGCTGATTCAGGGCACATGGTGGGACCTGAGTAGAGGGGAGCTACTGTTACTGTGGTGACAAAGGAGTTAAAGTTCTCAGCACCTAAACTGCTTTGATGACACGATGCTGCAGTTGGGACTAATGTCAGGACTAATGCCAAGCAGAAACAGCACAAGATAAAAAGGAATACAAAGTCACTCACTCTTTCCTCCCAAAGAGCAAATGCCCCATCTTTCTCCAAAAGGTAAAAACACACAGATATTCTTATCTAGGCCTGAGGGAGGTATAAGCCTAAGGGAGAGGCCTTGAGTATTTGCAACTTTAGCATACAACCTTAAAACCAGTAAGGTGTTCTACAAGGCTCAGCAGGAATCAGGCATCATGGAGGAAATAATCTTTGAGATATTTAACTTTGCTAAGACCCTTTCCATCTTCAGTCCCTCATTTCTCACCTGGATTGTATATACTCTTTTGGACGCATGCCCACTGTCTCTCTTGGCAGGGTATCACGACTAAATGAATTCTTGTCTTTCTTATAGTCTTGGACTGGTTGTATCCTTTTACCACCTGTGTCAACAGCCCTCCATGCAACATCTGGAGCAGCAGCTAGGGTAATACCTACAGGCAAGGGTAAGGGCCAGAGGGATTCTGAAATCCAACATTTAGGAAATCAACAGAGTCCAATCAGGTGGACCAGATCCTCCCTTTTGCACTCCTCTGCCTTTGGTTGCAAGGAGACAGTTGTACAAGGTGCAGAGCTGTTTGGTGTCTCTTATGCTGGACATAACTTCCTCAGACAGCATGTGGCTGAGTTGGGAAGTGTGGGCAGCCATGGGAGTGGAGCTGGGGAGGGGACATTGTAAAGAATTCTGTAATCTGTCAATCTGACTATCACAAATGACTTGAAGTTTTACAAAATTTATCCGTTAGCAAATGCAAATGTTTGAACTGTGCATTCTTTGATGTTGGCATGTGTTGTAAGTTGCGTAGATGGTAAGCAGGCTTCTCACACTCACCAGCCACCCTAACCAGTGTTGCTTAGAGGTTCTGTTCTGGTCTTTGTGTACACAGTGATACTGGAGAATGGAGAGGGCGAAGGCTCTTCAGTGAGAGCATGTGCCTTGGTGAAAGGTGAAAAGGCTTGCAAACCTGCAGTGTGAGGATATTCTGCTGACACACTTGAGACTTAGTAAAAGTATAACCTGGGGCAGGAGGGAAATTGTTCTTTGGTTTCTCTTCTATGAGTTTGCTGGTTTTCAAAGGAGGTCAGGTAGTTCTCAGACAATGCCCAGGGGCTGTGGATGGCTCTCATCCATTGGAGTAAGTGAAGCCTTGTCTGCTCAGATTGTCAGCTGCCCCAGTGTGCAGAGGTAGGGACAGTCATTGACTCCTAGTTGCATTTGGAAAAATGAACCTATAGTGAATGGGGCTCATGGTCTACAAGTGGTTAACGACTCTCAGGGACATAGGCAGTGTGACAGCTCTGTGGGTGACCTTTACTGATACTTGGGTGGTCTTTTCTGTAATGAATTCCCACGCCCATGTACTGCAGGCATGGCCAAGATGACTAGGGCTGAGAGGTGGCAAAACCCTTGCTGTAAGGAAGCCTAATGCTCTGCGGCCACCTCCCCCTCCACACTTCTAGCCACAGGTGACAGAACAAGTGTACAATGAAAGGAAAACATCTGTTGTACTCTTCCTACGGCTTCCACTAGCACATGTCTTTAAACTCCCATATCTTCCTTCAAGGGTCCCAAACACAGACATCCTTTCTCCCACCAGGATGGGCATCTTAGTCTCTTCACATGGAGTGCAAGGGAAGGAGCTAATGAAGCCCAGAGATACTGGGCCGCTTTGCTGCCCCATCCAGCCACTGCCACTGCCCAACAATTTTTTTTTCTGGAATCTTCTGGGCTTTGAGAGAGAAGCACTTGCTCAGTCCTTTCATTCTTCCCCCTCTCCCTGGAGCTCAGGGTTACACTGAACTGGGCATGTTGATGACAGCCCCCAAGGTACAGCTTGGGGCTGATTGGAGGTGAAGTCCTTTACTTGTATACAGAAAATCCAGTGCCCTTAGAGACACTGATAGCTGGTGGAATCTTTTCATAATTTCATCAAGGGCTTTTGTGCAATCATCTGTGGCTGACCAGGATGGAGCAATGGTCAGTCATAGGAAGGGACGGTATGCATTCTTTACAGAGAAGCCACGAGCACATTAATGGCAAAATGGATGTCTTTGCAGTGGGATGAAATTACCTGGTGTTCATTTGCAAAGAGAGGGCACCTTCTGTCATTTGTCCTCTAGTTTTTTGGTGTTTTAAAAGTGATTTTTAACTTACT